CCGGTTCCCTCTCTGGCGCCTCCAACTGGGTACAAACCAGATAAACAACACTTTACGCGGGAGTGTTTCAAGGCAAAAGCCGAGGTTACCGCTGTCTGGAGTCAGTCGCCAGTCGCCTCCAGGACATGCTGGTTCCACTACTTATCATAGCGGCTGTAGCCGCTTGCTTTACCCAGGCGCAGCAGGACTTTTACGAAGGTATGCATTATTGTTAGTACTTTTTTTTGTCCATGTTCGACACTTGAGACCTTGAAAACACGAATCGATTGCGTATATACATTTATTTCCATTGGCAGTTCCGTTCAGAAACATAGTTTAACGAGTCGTCGTACAATAGCCCATCGCATTTTTAGGTGAGCAATTAGCGAAGCCCATTTCTTCACTAACCGAAAAAAAATAATTCTATTTGTCTGTTTGTGTGTTTATTTGTTTCTTTGTCTGTTTGTCGGTCTGTGTGCACGATAGCTTAAGAAGGAATAAAGATATAGATCTGGGAATATAAGGGACGTTTTGAATCATTTAAAGACAGATCTAGTTCGAAGATGAGGGTTCTAGCTCACAAATTGACTTTTCGAAATATCTAAACCCACAGGTCGCAAAAGGTATTATTTTAAGGATTTCGAAGGAGTTACTCGTAAAAGTAGAACCCTTTGAGCGAAAATCTTTTGCTCTATCATGTACTGTGAAGGTGCTAGCGGGCATTTCTTGACGAAAATAATGTGTAAATGACCAAATGGTCTATTAAATCGTAAACTAGGTAGATGTACACCAGACCACGTCTCGCGTAACAGGCTTCGCGATATCGCACAAAATACTGTGACGCTGCGACGCGCCTGGCGTACAGCTAGGAATGCGGCGCTGACAGCCGAGTCGTTCAAAAGGCACAGTCGTAAATAGGTCTTTGGCCCGAAAAGTGACAAATTTTGCTCCTCCGGGTTTTATTTTGATTAGTTACCCCCACCGGACGCCTTAAATATATGAGACAGAATGTTTAAATGTTTCGGGTTAATTTCTATGTGAAAAAAGCCCTCCGGGCTAGGGATAGAACCAAACAGACTAAATTTTCGTTCCTCGGGTTCTATTTTGACTAGTAACCTTTAAGCAAGAGTTACAACAAATATTTTTCAAACGAAATTTTTCTGGCTTTCTATTTGTGACTTTTTTGACAAGTCTATTTTTGATCTAAAGGGCTCCAGAGCTGTACAGTTCTTGCTTTTAACGATACAGAGTTACAGTAAACATTTCACGCTCGTAGCCTTAACCTTTCTCGAGTTTTCGTGATGACAAACACACACACAGACACACCCGAAACTTTTTGATCATCACTGGAGTAATAGGGTATTGGTC